ATGCGTACTTCTGCGCCTCGCGCTCCCGGCATCCGGGAGGCGCGCGGGCCCCGTGTGCCGCCGCCCTACGAAGCTTTTAATTACGGGGACGAGCCCTCCCGTGCGGTGCCCCGCGACATCTTGCCTTTACCGCGGCCGGCGGTGGAGCGATATCGGGGTGCCGACGGGGGGCTCTCCCGTGCAGTCCGACAGCGCCTGGGTAAGCGCGAGAGTTTTGAGTTGGACTGTGATCGCGCCGTCCACGCCTTGAACTCGCTCTATCTTCACCAGGACCAGCCTCCCGTCGGCCAGGGCGCCGACCGTGCAGTTTTTGTTTCGCTGGGCCAGCGTCGCTGTCTTGATAGAGTTCGGGGCTCCGTCGCCGCTCTCGGCCCGCCTCCGCCGGAGGTTACTCCCGCAGAAGCTCTCCGGAAGCTTCGCGTGGCGAGCTGGTATGATGTGGACTCTGCCGTGCTCGGTTCCTACAACCTCGCTAGCGTCTCGCTCCCCTCTGGCTCGCCGGCACCGGTGCCGCTCGAGGATCTGTGGGGCGCGGGCGGGTCGGACATGATTAGGGACTTCGTCCAAAGCCGATTGCTACCGTCTAGTGAGGTAGATACTCGTTTGAAAAATTCTCAGGTTGCGGTGCCGTATAGTGATCCGAAGCTGCGTCGGGTCGCGGCCTTTGAGGAGTTCATCCGTGCATTGCAGCAGCGAGGCATGGTAGATTTCAGCTTCTCAGCCAAGGAAAGGGTTGAGGCTTTTTCGCGCACAAGAAAAATGGGAAGCTCCGGCTGGTAGTTGACTGTCGTAGAAGCAACTGTGATTTCCAGGACCCCGCCCCCGTTTCCCTCCTCACCGGCGAAGGCCTGGCAGGGCTGGAGCTCGGTGAGGGTGAGGAGTTGCATGTTGGCGGGGCCGATTTGTCTGACGCTTTTTATCATATGCAGTTGCCTCCCGATTTGAGGCCGTTTTTCTGTTTCAGGGCTGCGCGGGCGGGGGCGGTGGGGTGTGCTAGGGTCAATGGGAAACCCGTTCCTCCGTCAGCCATGGTCTACCCCCGACTGTCTGTGATACCGATGGGCTGGAGCTGGGCCCTGTGGATGTGTCAAACGGTCCATGAACGTATTGTGGAACAAGCCGGAGCTTCCCCGGAGAATCGCATTGTAGATAAGCAGGTGACGCCGGACCTTCATCGTGCGTGCCACTCGCAGTATGTGGACAACTTCATCGCCGTTTCTACTGACGCCAGTGCTGTTCGCTCTCTGGTTGCGGATGCTATTCGTGCTCTTGAAGGGCGGGGTCTCGTCGTTCATGAGGAGGAGTATTCTGGGGAGGACAAGGTGGCCCAGGTTTTGGGGTGGCAGGTCGACGGGTCCCGGGGCCGCGTGGCTGGCTGCCACCCCTGTCCGCCTCTGGAGGGCCCGCCTGGCAATTCGGGCGGTCCTCCGGAGGGGGCGGTGCTCTGGGCGTGACCTGGAGCGCCTCCTGGGGCATCTTGTCTTCCTCTCCCTGGTCCGCCGGGAGGGGTTATCGCTGTTCTGGTCGTGCTATGCCTTCGTCAGGAAGAATTACACCCAGGATGAGCGTCTGTGGGCTTCGGTACGTCGCGAGCTCTCTCTCTCTGGGATGGGCTTGCTCCTCTCCTCTGGCGGGACCTACGGGCGGGCTGGAGCGACGAGGTGGTGGCCGTCGATGCTAGTGAGTGGGGGCTGGGGGCGTGCGCTGCACAGTGTGGGGCCTCTCTTGCCCGGAGCGTCGGTCGGACCTCGGAGCGTTGGCGCTGGGGTCGGGTCGGCGCTGCCATGGGACCTCGTCGCCGCGCGCTGGACCACGCTCGTAAAGCCGAGGCGGCGGCGGCCCTGTCGGGGGGGGCCCGCGAGGCTGCCCCCTGGATCGCCGCCGCCAACGACGTCCCAGGGCCCGAGTGCGCTCCCCCCCAGCCCCCCTCGGCGGGCTCAGGTGTCCTGGACAGCCCCGGAGACGTCTTCGGGTTCGGTCGGGTCAAGCGGGTCGTGGACTTCCCAGAGGTCCCGAGGGAGATGATCGAGCAGCAGTGGTCCGTCGTCGGTCGCTTCCCGTGGAGGCGCAAGGGGGAGAGTATCGCCGTGTACGAGGCCAGGGCCACGTTGTACGGGTTTCGTCATCTTCTTCGTTCGTCTCGGAACCTTGGGAAGCACGCGGTGGTCCTGGGGGACTCGCAGTCGACGGCCGGGGCGGTGGCGCGGTTTCGGAGCGACAGCCGTAGCATGATGCGGGTCGCCCAGGCGATCGCGGCCCTCTCGCTCGCAACCGGTTCCGCCTTGCATTATCGGTGTTTGCCCTCGGAGTGGAACGTCGCGGACTCTCCTTCTCGTGGCCTCTGGGCTCCAGCTGCTCCGAGCCCGCTCGATTTCTCCAAACATGCTCCCGCGGGCCAGACCCGCACCGACCTCGACCGGCGCGCGGATGGCGCCGCCGGCGGCGCCTGCGGCCTCGCTGGCCTCGCCGCTGGTCAGGCGGGGGGCCACCCGAGGTGCCATGACGGCGAACCTCTCTACGTCTGCACGGGGCCCCGGCCCGCCGCGCCGACAGCCAGCCGTTGCTCGCCCTCCTCCACCCAAGAGGAAGCGCCAGACGGTGGCCGACGTCGCGGCCCGGCGGAGGGCCTCTGCCGTCACGGTGGGGGGGCTCACGGTGCTGGAGAGCGCCTCGGTTCGGCCTCGGACGCGGCAGAAGTACCAGTCGCTGTTCGCCGAGTTCCTGGCGTGGCTCGCCGTCCCGGTGGCAACCTCCGAGGCGGGCGTCGACCGGCAGCTCGTGGGGTGGCTGGACGCGCTGTACCTGGGCGGCGAGAACCTGGGCGCGGCCCAGTGGGGCTTCGCGGCGGTGACGTTCTTCACGGGCCTCCAGAAGTCCGCGGGGGCCCTCGTGCCCAGGAGCCGGAGGGCCCTTCAGGGGTTCAGGCGCTGCTGCCCTCCCCAGTCGCGGCTGCCGCTGCCGCGCGAGGTGGTGGCCCTGATCGCCAACGAGCTGGTCAGATCGGGGAAGCTGCCCTGCGCGATCGCGATCATCCTGATCTTCGAGCTGTACCTTCGGCCAGGCGAGGTCTTCAGCGTGAGGGGGGTGGACCTCGTACCACCAGTGCCGGGCGTGGCAAGCGCCCCCTGCTGGGCCATCACGCTTCACGCGCAGGAGGTCGGGAGGTCGTCAAAGACGAACGAGTTCGACGAGTCCATGCGCCTGGATCTGGAGCGGCATGCCCCTCTCGGCCCGGCGCTCAAGGCCCTCTGTCAGGGCCGGAGCCCGCGCTCGCCGATCTTCGACTTCGCCCTGAAGGACCTGGTGGCGGCGGTGTGCGGCGTCGTGCGGAGCCTCAAGCTGGACGAGTACCTCGGCGACGTCCACCTGCACCAGCTCAGGCACGGCGGCGCCCCGCACGACTCCGCCGGGGGCTTCAGGAGCCTGGAGGACGTGAGGCGCCGCGGGCGCTGGCGGTCGTGGGCTTCGGTCAGGCGCTACGAGAAGGGCAGCCGCATCGGCCAGGTGCTGCTCAAGCTGCCCGACGACCTCCGCGCCCACGCGCTGTCCTGCGAGCGCTCGATGGCCTCCATCGTCCGCGGCCGGCCTTGTCCGGCGGCCCCCGGCCTCAGGTCCGCTTCTTCCTCGAGGTCTTCTCGGGGTCAGGCCGGCTCGGCCAAGCAGTCGCGAGGGAGGGCGTGAACGTTCTTCTCTGGGATGTGGAGCTGGGTGCCGATTACGATCTTCGTCTGTCCCGGAACCGCAGCCTCATCAGAGGATGGATCCGCTCAGGCATCGTGATCGGCGTCCACTTGGGAACGCCATGCTCCTCATTTTCGCGGGCACGCGATGTGCCCCCAGGCCCTCCACCGTTAAGGTCAAACTCGTCTCCCATGGGCCTCGACGACCTGAGCCCCGCCGACGCCGACAAGGTTCGCGTCGGCAACTTGTTAATGTTTTTCTCCGTGGCGGTGATGCGGGATGCTATGCTTTTGGGAATACCAGCTACTCTGGAGAACCCCGCCCGGAGCCGCATCTGGATCTGCCCCGCCATGCTGAGATTTCAGAAATCCAACAAGATCAATTTCACTGTCACCGATTTCTGCATGTGGGGCGCCCAGTGGAGAAAGTCGACCGGCTTCCTCAGCGCGGGGCTGTGCATGGACGCCCTCGCCGAGGCTCGCTGTCTCGGCGCCAAGCGTGTCCTGTGCAAGCGCTCCGGCCAGCCGCACATCCCCATCCAAGGGAAAAACGACAAGGGTGTCTTCTGGTCCAAGATCGCCGAGCCTTATCCTCCTGGACTTTGTAGAGCCCTGGCTTCTATCTACTACAATGCGTGGGCCTCGTCTAGAGCCGAGTTGTTCAACAAGAAGGTGTTTGCGGCCCCGTCGGGGCCAGATTGCTGATCGGGTGGGCCTGGAGGTCCGACAGGTTTGGGAGGTGTGCGTGCTCGGCCCCCGAATGGTCTGGCCTCGCTCGCTCCGTTTCGCAAAGGTCGTCGACTCGTGCTACGCCGTCTGGCTGGAAAACGAAGCCCGGGGGGATGCCTTGTATTTGTACGGAAATCCTTGAGAGCGGAGTGGGACAGCCGTGGCAGCATCCTTGCGTCTTCCGTCCCATCTTGGCTCTAGCTTCACCCCCCTCTACCCCAACCGCCGCCCTGTTTTTCTTTCAATTTCTGGTTTCTCCCTCGTTAGTTGCTTTTGAAGGGGAGGTGTGCGTGCTCGGCTCCCGAATGGTCTGGCCTCGCTCGCTCCGTTTCGCAAAGGTCGTCGACTCGTGCTACGCCGTCTGGCTGGAAAACGAAGCCCGGGGGGATGATGATCATGATGATGATGATGATGATGATGATGATGATGATGATGGTGGTGCTGGTGGTGCTGGTGGTGATGGTGATGATGATGGTGATGATGAGGCTGATGATGATGATGCTGATGACCATGATGCTGATGAGGATGAGGATGAGGATGAGGATGAGGATGATGATGATGATGATGATGATGATGACGACGACGACGACGGCGACGACGACGATGATGATGATGATGCTGATGATGATGATGATGATGATGGTGGTGGTGGTGATGATGATGATGATGATGAGGATGATGATGATGATGATGATGATGATGATGATGATGATGGTGGTGGTGGTGGTGGTGAGGAGGAAGAGGAGGAGGAGGCGGAGGATGAAATGGCTGAGGAAGAGGAGAAAGACGAATGACAGGAAGGATGCAGAGGAGGTGGTTATGGCTGGAGGAGAGATTCTCCTCCTCTCTCGTCTCCTAATTGCTCTCTGCCCTCCTCTCCTCCTCCTCGTCCTCTCTTTTGCCTGTAAGCTCTGTTCCGCGCCACGGGTCCTGGGCAGTCCTCCTTCCCGCTCCTCCTCATCATCATCCGTATTCTGGCCAGTTCACCTCCTCCCTACTCTTTCTTTCATGTTGCACCTCCTCCCTCCAGCATCCTCCTCCTCGTCATCATCATAATCATTCCCCACCACCTCATCGTCTTCCCCACTCCCATCCTGCTCCTCCTCCCCCTCCTCCTTCCTCTGTCTGGGAGGAGAATGAGGAAGAGGAGGAGGAGGAAGAGGAGGAGGAGGAGGAGGAGGACATGATGATGATGATGATGATGATGATGATGATGATGATGATGATGATGATGATGATGATGATGACGAGGAGGAGGAGGAGGAGGAGGAGGAGAAGAGGAGGAGTGGGCGGATTTGGAGCTGGAGGAGGAGGAGGAGGAGGAGGAGGAGGAGGAGGAGGAGGAGGAAGATGAGAATGCGAGAGCTCTGGTCGCTGACAGACCTGCTCCTCGTTGAAGCGTTCATAGGGGGGGTGAAGAGGGGGAGATGGGGAGGACGGAGGAGGCGGAGGAGCTGGAGGAGGAGAACGGAGATGGAGCAGGAGGAGGACCCACCCGGAGGATGAGGATGAGGAGGAGGAGGAGGAGGAGGAGGAGGAGGACGGAGCAGGCCAAAACAATAGGACGGATGAGGAGGATGAGAAGGGGGTGGGGAGTTGCAGGATCAACAGGATGTCCTCCTCCTCCTGCTCCTCCTCCTCAGCCGCTCCCCCGCATGCCTGGTATGTGCCCCGTGGGGCGCACGGCGTTTCTTCCAAACAACTACTCCAGGGCGATGCTGCTGGAGCTGATGGACTCCCAGGGGTTCGCAGGCGAGGAGCCGGGGGAGCCGCCGTCGTCGGCGTGGAGGGGGCCGCGGGGGACTTCCAGAGAACTCCGGATGACGTCGAACGTCGCCGCCGCTTTCGATGCCCCCGTCGTCCCCGTCGGCCCCGTCGTTCCCGTCGTCCCCGCCGTCGTCGTCCCCGCCGTCGTCGTCGTCGTCGTCGTCGGCGTCGTCGTCGTCGTCGGCGTCGTCGTCGGCATCGGCATCGGCGTCGGCGTCGGCGTCGGCGTCCGCGTCGGCGTCACTGCCAGGACCGCCAAGAGGCCCCCACGACGCTCCAAGAAGCCGCCACTAGGGGACCCTTCCTCTGCGTGCTGCACACTTCCCTGATCGAGGCAACTCCTCTGGACATCGTTTCTGGATGAGCTGGTGAGGATTTTTTTCGCGGGCGCAAGCGGAAGCGCAGGCGGCGTCCGAAGAGGTCGGGTGGGCTACGCGCGACCCTAATTGCCTAGCGCACGGGGACCGACGGCCGAACCTGAACTGCCTAAGCGCTGGTGAGGATACGCGAAGCAATTTGTCTTCAGAATTTGCTCTGAGCGCAGACGAGTCTGGCCACCAACACACGCAAACCGCTTGAGACATCCTCAAAATCTGGCCCCCCTGGGGGGCGAAACTGAGCGCCTCGCCCTCCAAATCTGCTCCGAAAACGAAGGATGTTCGCGACCAGTACAGGCAAACCGCCTGAGACATCCCCGCACGCTGGTTGCGAACGGAGGCTGTGCAATACCCCTGGCGGCCCCCCCTTAGGAGGCGCCTCGCACGAGACATCCTCCAATTCTGCTTCGAAAACGAAGGATGATCGCGACCAAAACAGGCAAACCGCCTGAGACATCTCCGCAATCTGGGAACGAACGGAGTCCGTGAGATACCCCCTGGCGCCCCCCCTGAGGAGTGCTAAAACCAGCAAGCTGCTCGGTACATCCTCATCATCTGCTCATCGTCATCGTCATCGTCATCGTCATCATCATCATCATCATCATCATCATCATCATCATCATCATCATCATCATCATCATCATCATCACACTCGTCCACCAGTCACCACCACCATCGTACTCACACCATACCCTCATCATACCATGGTCATCATCATGACACTCATCATCACCCTCTAGTGCAGAGAGGGCGGAGGGAGGGGGGGGATGATGATGAGGGGTCCGGCGCGGGCAGAGAATTATTCACTGCGTGGAGTTGTGCATCTATTCGCATGGACCTGTCCGCCGTGAGCGTCTAGGCGCAAGAGTTTTCGAATATAAGCGGGCTTGCGTTGTAACGTTCTGGTTATGAATATAACTGCGAATGATTTGGAGTGTGACTGCGTCTCAGTAGTACGAGCGCGTCTCTGCGCATGAGCCTGGGGCCTCCTGGGGCCTCCTGAAACCTCCTGGGGCTTCCTGGGGCCTCAAGGAGCCTTTTGGGGCCTCCTGGGGCCTCTTGGGGCTTCCAGTGGCCTCCTGAGGGCTCCTGGAGCCTCGCGTGGCCTCCTGGGGCCTCCTGGAGCCTCCTGGGACCACCTAGGGAGGATCCGTGCCCCAGGAGAGGCCCAATCTATAGGAACAGACGTACATAAAACATTGCGGATTGGAGCCGCAGGAGAAGGGCAATCTATAGGAACACTGTGAAACACTGAGGACTCGTGCCCCAGGGGAGGCCCAATGTATAGGAACATACGTAGAACATTGAGGATTGCATACGCAGGAGAAACACTATACATACACATACGTATGACATCAAGGATTCGTGCTCCAGGTGAGGCCCAATATATAGGAGCATACTTAAAACACATGGGATTGGAGCCACCCCTGTTGCCTTCTGAGGTCTCCTGCTCCTGGGGCCTCTCGGGGCCTCCTGTTGCCTTCTGGGACCTCATGGCGCTTCCTGTGGCCGCCTGGGGCGAGTCTTCCTGCGGCCTCCTGATGCCTCCTGGGACCTCATGTGGCCTCCTGGGGACTCCTGGAGCCTGCTGGAGTCTCCTGTAGCATCCTGGGGGGAAGATGTGCCCACGAATCTGGCCACCAAAATTATTCACTGCGTGGAGCTCCTCATATGTGCATCTCTTTAAATTGGCATTTCCGCCGTGAATGTCTAGGCGCAAGAAACTTCGAATATACACGAGCTTGGATATTGACAGTCTGGGAGAGAGTCTAACTGTGAATGACTTTGAGTGTGTATGAGCCCCACTAGCGCGATTGAGTCTATGCGCGTGAGCCTGCGCATGGCTAAGCTTCGGGTGAGAGTATCTGCACGTCAGTGGCCTGAACATGATTGAGCGTGACTGAATCCTCCTGGGGTCTCTTGGGGCTTCCTGGGGCTTCCTCAAGTCTCCTGAGGCTCCTGGGGCCTCCTGGGGCCTCTTGGGGCTTCCTGGGGCTTCCTGGAGCCTCTTGGAACTCCTGGGGCCTCCTGCGGCCTCCTGGAGCCTCCCGGGGCCTCTTGGGGACTCCTGAGGCCTCCTCGGGCATATTGGAGACTGCTCCTCCTTGAGCCTTCTGGGGCTTCCCGAGGCCTCTTGGAGCTGCCTCGAGCCTTCCTGGCGCTTCCTGGAGACTGAGCCTCCTGAGACCTCCTGGGTCCTTCCTGGCGTTTCCTGGGGCTTCATCTGGCCTCTTGGAGTCTCCTGCTACCTCTTGGGGCTTCCTGTGGTTTCTCGATGTCTCCTGGGACCTCCTGGGGCCTCCTTGGCCTTCGAGCCTCCTGGGGCCTCTTGGGGACTCCTGGGGCCTCCTGGGGCATATTGGGGACTGCTCCTCCTTGAGCTTCCTGGGGCTTCCCAAGGCCTCTTGGAGCTGCCTCGAGCCTTCCTGGCGCTTCCTGGAGACTGAGCCTCCTGAGACCTCCTGCGTCCTTCCTGGCGTTCCCTGGGGCTTCCTCGGGCCTCTTGGAGCCTCCTGGTACCTCTTGGGGCTTCCTGTGGCTTCCTGATGTCTCCTGGGACCTTCTGGGGCCTCCTGGGGCCTCCTTGGCCTTCCTGGAGCCTCCTGTGGCCTCTTGGGGACTCCTGGGGCCTCCTGGTTCATATTGGGGGCTGTTCCTCCTTGAGCTTCCTGGAGCTTCCTGAGGCCTCTTGGGGCTTCCTTGAGAACCAGGTGTAACATATGTAAAACGCATAGGATTGGAACCACATGAGAAGGACAACATATAGGAACATGCGTCAACCACCATGGATTCGTGCCCAACCGGACG